GACCACTAAATTTGCCAGAGCATAATTCCGTAAGTTTTCCATCAAATTTTCTACTTTTGGTTACATTACCTGCAGAAAAAGATGCTCTATCATTTCATGAGAATTTTTTTTTATTTTATTATTCTACCCTGAGAGCAATTCTCAGATCAGAGTTCCAAACCTGAAAGGGCTAATAATATAATTCTTAACATCCACTTTTACATAGATGTGAGGCATGGGTTTTGAATGCTGTGGTGAAAAGGAGGCTAGAGGCAGTGGAGATGTCATGTTTCAAGGCAAAATGTGGTGCGAGTATCATACAGAACTTTTGGAGTGTATAAATTAAAATTTTAGGTGATAAGGGTAACCAAGGGTATAATTCCGAGCTGAGGAGGGGTCGTTGAGGTGGTTTGGGCATGTGGATAGGCAGAGATAGGTTGAGGGTGTTTAAGTCTGGGGCGGAAGGGAAAAGGGTTGTCCCAGGAATGGTTGGAGGGATGGGGTACAAGAGGCTTTTGGGTTTAGGGGCTTTAGCATCCAGTAGGCTTGTGTGGGCAGACTTGTGTCTTGGAGATGTGAAGAGCAGTGTGTGGACGTTGAAGGAGGGATGATGTTGCAGTCAGAGGGTTAATATGATTGTGATGTTAGCACATTTCTGAAAAGATGGCAGTTGAGTGAATGTTGGTGAATGTGTTTTCTTTGGGTCATCCTGCCTTGATGGGAGTTGGCCATTGAGTGACATTGATGTTTATCAGGTTTTGAATAATGTGAAACACTGTATAATACATTGTTTACAAAACTGCAATTACACCTGTTTTTTAATTTCCTTATATGAATACCTGTGTATTCTATTTTTTGCAAATAAAATACATGTACTGTACAGAATACTTAAATGCATTATATTTTTTGATGTGCTGAGATTGTACACTGTGATATGGCAGGATAAGGGAGGTTAGGCTAACTGGTTATCAATTTTCAGCTAAACAGCTTTTTATAAGATTGCTGCATTAGTCACTCACATTGATCTAAAGATTTAAACTCTCATTATAGGGCTTGAACATTAAATGCTGCCTTTAGTACTTTGTATAAAGCTGCCATTTTTTTGCTGTTGCACCTTTATAACTACACCCATTGTTTTCTTGTATTTCAATCTATACTGCACCCCTAATTTTGAACACACAAAGTTTAGTTCATTGCTGGTTGTTAACTTTCCTTTACTTTACTGTATCAAGCACTTTTCTGCCTATTTTGTGTTTTAATGACGATTGACACCCTTATAGGTGATATTTATCTGCTAATACATTTCGAATCTGTTATTAAAATTTTTTTAATGGTGTGAAGATGCTCTGCATCTGCGAATGTCATCTTACACATTTGTTTACCTAGTTTTTTATGTTTTTCTATTGAAATTTTCATATTCTGGCATTTTTTTTATAGGTTTGAAGAATTCCTCAGTTAAATGACAATATTTCAGTTTACATTACGTATAAAATTAACTGATACGTTTTCACCCTGCCTCGGTGGTAAACGGCCAATGTGTTAAAATAAAGTCACTTGTATAATTATCAGCAGAACTGTTAACTATCGGTGTTGATTCCTTGAAAAGTGAATTTCATTATCTCTTCCATTCACTTGATCCCCTGTTTTCTTCAACTGAATCTCTCCTAGGGTGTGGAGTTTAACCCTTTCGCTGTTGGTGCCGAGTACTATGGCTTACAAGCCAGTGTTGGTGCCATAGTACTACGCCAAAATTGTAGCAGCTTCAGATCTAGCGGGAGAAAGCTGGTAGACCTACATATGAGAGAATGGGTCCGAGTGGTCAGTGTGCGCAGTACAAAAAAATCCTGCAGCATGCAGTGCATAACGAGGAAAAAAAACTCCGACCATGTTATTGGTTTAAAACACTGATTTTGCAATGTATTTTCGTATGGTATTTACAGTCGTATTCTCGTTTTCTTGATCTCATTTGATAGACTGAAAGCTATATTACAGAAATACAGGTCTCCCTCAACATTCGCGAGGGCTAGGGGATCAAGAGCCTCGCGAATGTTGAAAAACCGTGAATGTTTGGTGCCCCAATATATTGTAGGGAAATATATTACAATACTGCTTCCTTAACTTGTTGAACCATGAATAATCATAAAATACATGAAAACGTCGTAAATTGTACTAAATATATACATGTTATGCTTTAATAACGTATGTTATTTAATAACATGTATGTTAATAACATGTATGTTAATAACATGTATGTTATTAAATACCACAGACTCCACCACTGCGAGTCCCTACTACCCTCCCTCCGATCCCTGCAACTGGCAGCCAGCCCTCCCACCACTCAGTGTGGTGAGTGTTTTGTTTGTTCATTATTTGCTATTAAACTACAAAATAAATAATGTAAACCCATTCATGACTGCATATTGGAATGGCTATTAGGAAAGGTATTAGACGGTGACATCATGTGTTTACTCTTGAACACAGCAAAGAATCGAACATTTCTGCTATTGCTAATAATAGTAATAATAATAATAATAATTACGATATAATTGAAGAAGGAAATTGTACAAAAATACGAGGGAGTGGTTGACACATCATCAGTGTGACTTTGTTTATGCTGGAGTGAACATTAGTCTCCCTGCTCTTCCAAACATTTCACAATAATTCATTGTGTTTGGTGCTTGTAGATTGAGTGTGACTGTAGTGGTAGAGGCAGTGATTGAGGCAATGGTATTTAATAACATACATGTTAATAATAATACATGTTATTAATAATATGTACTATTGTTATTAATAATATGTACTATTATTATTTATAACATATATGTTATTAAATACCACTGCCTCAACCGCTGAATTATTGTGAAATGTTTGGAAGAGCAGGGAGACTAATGTTCACTCCAGCATAAACAAAGTCACACTGATGATGTGTCAACCACTCCCTCGTATTTTTGTACAATTTCCTTCTTCAATTATATCGTAATTATTATTATTATTATTACTATTATTAGCAATAGCAGAAATGTTCGATTCTTTGCTGTGTTCAAGAGTAAACACATGATGTCACCGTCTAATACCTTTCCTAATAGCCATTCCAATATGCAGTCATGAATGGGTTTACATTATTTATTCTGTAGTTTAATAGCAAATAATGAACAAACAAAACACTCACCACCCTGAGTGGTGGGAGGGCTGGCTGCCAGTTGCGGGGGTCGGAGGGAGGGTAGTAGGGACTCGCGGGTGGCGGGAAACTTAAATATGATTTGGCGGTTGGGATTTTGGTGGCTGGGAATTTGGCAGTTGGGAATTCGCGAATGTGTGAAACCCGTGAAAGTTGAAAACGTGAATGTTGAGGGAGACCTGTAGAGATGATGTTGAACGGTTTTCGGAATAAAAGTACCTTGAAATTGAGCTCAGAGTAGTGGAAATGTTCGATTTTTGCTGATGTTTAAGAGTAAACAAATTACACCATGCATCCAATACACGTCAACTGGTGAGTCTTATATTCTTTCACAAATGTGCTGATATTATTTATGCCATTTTTACAATAATACAGTAGTCTACATAACAATAAATCTTCTATTTTGTGTGAATATAAATTCAAAATGGAAAGCAAGCATAATATAAAAGGGGCCTGGAGACATGACTAATGAACAGAGAAAATGTTATTTTAGTGCTAGGAATGTCTGCATTGTTTATTCTGGCCCCTATTTTGAAATTGGCCTTACTTGAATTATGTATGAAATTGGCCAAATTACAATTTCTGATCACTTTATTGGGTAGTTGAAATCAGTAAATGAGTGGTTTCTTGTACTCAATCGATAGAACAAATGGAGTTCTAGTGAAATAGTTATGAGCTTGGGCAACTGGAATGATTGAATTGGCTGAAAATAAGGCTCAAAGTGGGCAAAATCGCTGATGCGTCAATATCCCCGAGACTGCTAACTTTGTGAGAGCGTAATTCCCTAAGTTTTCCATCAAATTTCGTACTTCTGGTGTCATTATCATTGGGAAGATTCTCTATCATTTCATAAGATTTTTTTTTTTTTCATTGACAGCAAGTTTGTGAGCAAGGGTCTTGACAGTGAAAAGGTTAACATCTTACTTTACCCATCACCCTATCTGTTTTCATAGCCAAGACTGTGTCAAATTTGAGGATACTTTCTTGCATGCTTCCGAGTTCTTGATTTTCTAATTGTCTTATAAATTTTAAAATCATCCATAAAGTTCAAGTTTCAGAAGCATTTTTGTTCCCCTGTTTCTAAATTATTTTTTAATTTTTATATTTCCATTGTTGCAGTCACTCAGTCATGGCATGAGCTACAGTCTTAGTTTTTGTCATATTGGTTAGATATTCATCTGGCTTTTCTTCATATTTCAAGGCATTTCTTACATTGGCTAAACCGTCTTGTATTGATTGCTGTAATTCCTGAAATTTTATTTTTTCAGTTCCTCCAGCTAATTTATTTAATCTGCATGTCCTATCATTTTGCTAACGAGTCCCAAGGTCATTGTATTCTCAGTGGTAAAAGTGGGTTAGTTTCCTGTTTTTACTTCACTGGTAAGACTTGAGAGTTTTTGGGAGCCATCTGAGAGCCTGCCCCAAATCTTACATGACTGTATCTTATAAAACAGGTCCTATCTGTTGGACACATTGTATATTTGTTGCCCTTGTATTTAAAATATGTATCAAATCTTAATTTATAATTTAATATTCTTGGTACTGTCTTTGTTTTCAAACAGTTGTACCTCCCACTGACACCATTATTATATCTCTTGGTTTAATTTAAACCTTGTAGCCTTTATATACAGTAAATCAAACCATTGAATCAATTATGAGAACAAATGCTAAAATATAAAAAATATATAAATATTCTAACACCCTATTAAAATACCTAGATTAGATTTAATTATTGTTTTGAGAGCTATTTGATTGAATTTCTTGAAACAAATTAGGAAATGTTTTGTTAGTAAAATGTCAGATTTCGATTATTTTTATTAATTTTTTTTATCTCCCAATCTAGCACCGCAGAAAACCACTACCAAACCCACCAATTATGCCAGCAGAGAGAGGTGACCGTGGCAGATTTCGAGGAGGTTTCCGAGGAAGAAGTACAGGTGGCTATCAAAGCGACAGACGAGGAGGTTATGGCAGTGACAGTAAATACAACCGGGATAACAACAGGGATTCTGGAGGTGAAAGAAGGGACCATGGAGGTTTTAAGAGAGATTATGAGGGCTCAAGGAAGGATTATGGCAGTGATAAGAGGAGCTATGATGGTGAAAGGAGGGGCTTTGGCGAAAGAAGAGGTTTTGGTGGTGATAGAAGAGGCTTTGGAGGTGACAGAAGGGGTTTTGGTGATAGAAGGGGATTCGGAGGTGACAGAAGAGGCTTTGGTGATAGAAGGGGTTTTGGTGGTGAGAGAAGGGATTTTGGTGGTGATAGAAGGGACTTCAGTGGCGATAGACGAGATTTTGGTGGTGACAAAAGGGACTTCGGTGGAGACAAAAGGTCTTTTGGTGGTGAAAAAAGAGAGTATGGTGGAGACAATAGGGAATATGGGGGTGACAGAAGGGAATATGATTCTGAAAGGAAGGATTATGGTGGAGACAGAAAAGAATATGGTGACAGGAAGGAATACACCGGAGACAGGAAGGAATACACTGGAGATAGGAAGGAATACACTGGTGAGAGGAAGGATTATGGTAATGACAGGAGGGATCATGGTGATGAGAGAAAGGATTATAATGGTGATAGAAAAGGTTTTAGTGGTGATAGGAGGGATTTTGGAGATAGCAATAGGAGTCAGAGCCATCATCAACCATGCACCTCCTCCTATGGAAATAGTAGCGGACGGGATAACAATTACTAGTTAATAGTGGTTATCCCTCGTGTATTAAGGATGGCAGTCTGTGATGCCAACTAGGCAGAGAATTTGCTTAATAAGTACAAGTTCTGGCAACACAACCATCATCCACAATTAGTGACCTGGAGGACTGGTGTTGAGGAATAGCCTAGAAAGACTGGGTAGTTGGTCAGTTATGTTGGCTATTCATTACCCTTATAAGTCACTCCCGTTTACACCAAAGTCTCTAATTACTGCTGGCAGGACATGGGTTAATGCAGTAAAGGAACATTACTAGTGTTCCATCATGTCTGGGAATCGAACCTGGAATCTCATTTGCCAAGCAGGTGTGCTGTCCAATACACCATGGGATATCTAGCTATTACTAATTAATAATAAGATGCCTGTAACATGTATGCCCTTTCTTGCATTCATAGGGGTTGTGTGTGTGTGTGCAGAATCATCTCCAACATTTCATTTGTTGATTTCATACCTTTAGAGTATCAGCAACTCAGAACTAATGTTTATGGTATTTGCTGATGAATAATTGCATGTTGGTTGACTTCCACAGATGTTAAATAGTCACCATGTGTTTAAGATTAAGACAAAAAAAAAAGGGATGCATCATCAGTAATGTGCAAGAGAGAATTAGAAGTAGAGAAACATGAAAAGATAAAAGGAAAAATAGTGTAAATGGTAAAGCTGAAAATTTTGAATTTTAAGAATGTTTGTTAGAATAAGTGGTGCTGTAGTGACAGTGTCCAAGGAATCCTATATATGGATGGTGGTATCATTTTTTTTTGTTACATAAAAAAAGGTCTTATCAAGGGGGAGGGGGGTTAGTTTTTTTATTATTTGATTGCATTAAAAAGTAGAATGTTGCTTTGTTCAATAAATGTGATAGCAAGGTTTAAACAGTAGCATCTGCCTGCTTGATGCTGCAATGATGTACTTTATGGCAGTAATTTGTTATTCAGTTTTATTATTTTTATTGCAGCAAGGGGCTATATGCATGCTTTGAGGAAATGCATCTGATATTTTGTGTTGTGAATGTTGAAAGTATACATGTTTATGTTGACTGAAGGAATCCATGCTCATTTGGTTATTGATACAGGATTAAATACTGTGTAAAGGAGCAGGAACTTTGTTAAGTTCTTGCCTTGTTTTTCATGGCAAAGTGTCTTTATTTTTACAGTGACATTGACATAAATAACAGTTTGACTACTACTGTATCTTTAAATTATCTGAAAACTAAATTGCAATATTTTTCCAAATATGTTTTCTTTTTAACCTTTTTGATCTGTTTCTCCAGTGGCATTGCTTAGCTATACTCAGTGATATAATCTGGATAAAGGTGCAATTATCAAGTTTTATACTTCTTTACCCCCTTTCCTGCAGCACTGTATGACCCTTTTGGGTTTAGTGCTTAATTTGATATTATTACTATTATGTCTTTTACCATAAATGTTTGTATTTTTTATTTAATTAATCTTTGTCAATATTTTGTTAGTGACAGTTCCAAGAGTAAGGCTTAAAAAAAAAATTGAATGGTGATACAGTGCATACTTTTTTAAATTCCTTATTTCTACAGTATTTTAAATTTCTTAATTCTACAGTGTATTTCCAATGTTTATAAACTCTGGTGAGTACATATTTTTTTAAATTTCAGTATTGAAAAAAGGGGTTTAGATAATATCGTTCCAGTCTACGTCTTGAGTTATAATGGGCTCTTGTGGGAAAATTAATTCACTTAATGTAATTTTCACTTAGTAAACCACTTATGGTTCTTTCCTTGGCTGTTAACCAAGGCATTACTGTATTAAAAAATTAGCATTAAACCTTTAGAATAATTAAAGGTGTGAGCAACAAAACGTGAAAATATCCTTTTCGAATGTGCAGCAAATGAATAAAAATTCTTAAATTGTATAGTTTAATGCTTATATATATATATAAAAAAATTAACATCCATAATTTTATTTTTAGCCCTCATTATATATTTAAAGCCCCTTCAAGAATTTCCTTAATGTCAGCAAGAAAATCTTATCCAAGAAATTGGATTTTTCCTTACCTTCCTGGAATCAAACCAGATTGCCTCATTTCTTCAGGCACTGTCTGCCCCCTATTAGTTTTAGTACTTCCAATTATTTTTTTTTCCGGTATACCAACTAATTCACTATGCTAACTTTAAAGTAAACTATTTGTTACATTAAACTTTAAACAAGGCTGTGATGCTCTGGTAAAATTTTCTTTATGCAAGGAATTGACAGTCCTTCCTTTCTTCAGATCAGACTGATTGCCTCCTAGTCTGCAATCATTTGATGACTTCAACACCCTTTCATGGAGGTGCCTTGATGCCAGTAAAAGGCTCTTAATCCAAGGAACTAGAACTATTTCTCTGGGTCAAAGCTGTGTCAAAGTTTCACGGTGCTGTATGATCCCTATGGGTTTAGAGTTCCTCGCATGAATGTAATACTATCAATATTAAAACCAAATGCTAAACCTACAAGGGTCATACAACACATTAATACTATCAATAGGTTTAGTGGTTCTTAGAATATGATACCCCTCTTTCTTGAAGGGGTTCCTTGATGCTGGTGGGGGCTCTGTGTAAGGAACGAAGTACATATATGTTCAAATTCCTTGAATCAAGCCTGAATACCTTTCATTTTCCCAGTGCTGTATGACCCCTACAGGTTTAGTGCTTCTCCATGAATGTAATAATCTTCCCTGAAGGGATAAACTACAGTACAGGTGGGGCTTGAAACTTGCGGCAAATGAGTCTTAAGCTTGTGTACTGGCCTGGAGTTTTAAGACACACTTGCCATGAGTTTAAGCCCCACCTGTACTGTGGTTTGTTTGCAATCATATTACAATTTCTCGAGTTCTGAAGGGATGTTCTTTGATGCCAGTGAGGGTTCTTGACATGGAATTGAAGCCAAATCCTCTCCTTGAGATTGAACTTGATTACCTCTCGTTCTTCGAGGTGCTATGTGAATCCTACAGGTTTAGTGCTCTCTCCATGATTGTAATACCAGTAATGTATAACCTACAGGTTAAGAGCTCTTCAACCACCCCTTCCCCTCCCTGCCCTCCAAGACAGTGAAGGGCACTTAATCCAAAGAGTTGGAACTACCCTACCTTTCCTTGGATCAAATATGATTGCTGCCTATTTTCTTAAGTGTTTTATGACCCCCTACAGGTTAAATTTACCTCCGTCGTCTTCGTTCTACTACTCTCTCTCTTTACCTTCCCTTCTTGCTGATGGACCCTCCTTTAACCCTTTGAGGGTTTCGGACGTACTAGTACGGCTTACGACCCAGGGTTTTTGACGTACTAGTACGCCTAAATTCTAGCGCCCTCAAATCTAGTGGGAGAAAGCTGGTAGGCCTTCATATGAAAGAATGGGTCTATGTGGTCAGTGTGCACAGTCTAAAAAAAATCCTGCAGCACACAGTGCATAATGAGAAAAAAAAAAACTGACAATTTTTTTGGAATAAAACAGCGACTTTGCACTGTATTTTCGTATGGTATTTATTGTTATATTCTAGTTTTCTTGGTCTCATTTTATAGAATGGAAGACATATTACAGAAATTGAGATGATTTTGACTGGTTTTACAATGAAAGGTACCTTGAAATTGAACTCTAAGTAGCAGAAATGTTCGATTTTTACCAAATTTCAAAAGTAAACAAATCGTGCCAAGCGTGCAATACACGTCAACTGGTGAGTCTAATATTCTTTTACAAGTGCACCAATAATATTTATACCATTTTTTACACTAATGCAGTAGTCTGCATAACAGTAAATCTTATATTTTTTGTGAGAATAAAAATTCAAAGTGGATAGCAAAAGAATATAAGAGGGGCCTTGAGATGTGACTAATGACCAGAGGAAATGTCATTTTAGTGCCAGGAATGTCTTTCTTGTTTATTCTGGACCCTATTCGGAAATTGGCATCTTTTGAAATTTGTGTGAAATTGGCAAAATTGCTAAATTCTGACCACTGTACTGGATAGTTGAATTTCATAAATGGGTGGTTTCTTGCACCCATTCGATAGAAAAAATGGAGTTCTAGCGAAGTATTCATGTTTTTTGTCGACTAGTACAGTGGAATTGGCCGAAAATGGGGCTAAAAGTGGGCAAAATCGCCGAGACCGCTAACTTTGCGAGAGCATAATTCCGTAAGTTTTCCATCAAATTTCAAACTTTTGGTGTCCTTATGATCGGGAAAAGATTCTGTATCTTTTCATAAGAGAAAATAATTTTTTTTTTTTTTTTAAATTTGGCCGACCCTGAGAACGAGTTTCGGAGAGGGCCTGTTGACCCTTAAAGGGTTAATCCTGACTCGCTCATTGACTTCTTGACAACGACTGATTTACTCCACAAACTCTGATGATACTTTTCGCACTCCCCTCAGCCCTTTCTAGTTCAGTCTCTTGCTGCCCTTTACCCTTTCACCATCCACTACCCTGCTGTTATCCGTAACCTATTACTCATCCATCTCCCTTTTGCCACCTGATGCCCTCACTTCCTTCCTGCCCTGCAGCGCTGTATAGTCCTTGTGGCTTAGCGCTTCTTTTTGATTATAATAATAATACAGGTTAAATGAAATTACCTCCATCCCCATAAATGCAATAAGTTTCATACCCCTCATGGGGTATGGAACCTTTCCTTCCTCAGATCAAATCCAAATAGCCCACCCTAGATCTATTAACTTCATTAGTGGGAATATTTTTCCTTCTGTTTCCATCAAGGGAGGCTGGTGAAGGATTCTTTGAGCCAAGAAATTTAATTACTTTCCTTTTCTGGGATTAAACTTGATTACTTCCCATGCCTTACCAGTACTTCAACTTATGGGGTTTAGTGCTTAGTTATGATGATAATTCCATTTCCTACATACAGGCGGCCCCCGTTTTATAACACTGCTTTACAGCGTTTCACTAATGCAGCAGTTTTCAATTATACCCAGCACTGTATGACCCTGGTGGTTTAGGATTTAGTTTTGATAATTTCATTATACCCATTCATTTATTCAGACTTCCTACAATAAATATATTCACTACTCACTCTAAGCTAAGGATGAAATATTTTAAGGTAAGTACAGTAGTACCTCGGTACTCGACTCCCAACTCAAACAATTTGGTATTCGAACGCTTTGTTCTGTAAAAAAAAAAAAAAATCGGTAGTTGACTGCTTCCTCAGCACTCGACCAAACAATGTGCGTCGGTCTCCCCACAGCTGTCACTCAGTGCTGAACTATTTCGTGTTTCTTCAAAAAAAAGTTTTTATTTATGTTTGTATAAATAAGTCACCATGGGGCCTAAGAATATTAGTGACAACAGCCAACCAAAAAGAAAATTGGCTAGTCACAACAGAGATGAAAAATTATTATTATTCCCTACAGGAAAAATCTGTTCGGCATTTGAACAGCCTCATGAAACAAATTGAGTTTGAGTATGGAGGTTCCACTGTAACGTGTGTACTGTATATTAATTTTTTAGGCCTAGCTATATTCCTTGCCTAATGTATGATAGCTGTATGACCCTAGTTTTGATGATAATTAATATATGATAGTGTAAACATGTTACCAGGCTTTTATATGCATTTGAAAGTGAAAAAAGGCTATAATTCACTTTATAGCGATTTTTGCTTCACAGCAGTAGCCCGGAATGTAATCTGATGTATAAGCAGGACCCTCCTGTATTGTATGATCCCTATGGGTTTACCACTTCCCAATTATTAACCCTTTGACTGTCGCGGCCGTATATATACGTCTTACGAGGTACCGTGTTCGACGTATATATACTCATAAATTCTAGCACCTTCAAATCAAGCAGGAGAAAGCTGGTAGGCCCACATGTGAGAGAATGGGTCTGTGTGATCAGTGTGCACCATATAAAAAAAATCCTGGAGCAGGCAGTGCATAATGAGAAAAAAAAAACTCCCACAGTTTTTTTTTAATTAAAATGCCGACTTTGTGGTCTATTTTCGTATAGTATTTATGATTGTATTCTCGTTTTCTTGGTCTCATTTGATAGAATGGAAAACATATTATAGAAATAGAGGTGATTTTGACTGATTTTACTATAAAAAGAACCTGGAAATGGAGCTCAAAATAGGGGAAATGTTTGATTTTTGCCAATGTTCAAAAGTAAACAAATGATGTCATTGTCCAATAAATGTCCAACTAGCCATTCTAATATGCAGTCATGAATGGGTTGATGTTATTTATACTATTATGCAGACTACTGTAATAATTGTAAGTCTACTATTTTTTGTTTGAATAAAAATTCAAAACAGAAAGGAATAGTAGTATCAGAGGGGCCTGGAGACATGACTAATGAACAAAGAAAATGTTATTTTAGAGCCAGGAATGTCTGCATTGTTCATTCTGGACCTTATTTTGAAATTGTCATATTTTTTATTTTTCATGAAATTGGCCAAATTGCAAATTTCTGACCACATTATTGGGTAGTTGAAATCGGTAAACGGGCAGTTTCTTGTACTCAATCGATAGAAAAAATGGAGTTCTAAAGAAATAGCTATGAGTTTGGTCGGCTGGAACAACAGAATTAGCCAAAAATAGGGCTCAAAGTGGGCGAAATCGCTGATTTGTAAATATCGCCAAGGTCGCTAACTTCGCGAGAGCATAATTCCGTCAGTTTTCCATCAAATTTCGTTTTTTTGGTGTCATTACAATCAGGAAAAGATTCTCTTATCATTTCATAAGAAAAAATATTTTTTTTTTTTTTTTTGAAATTTTGCGACACCAGGAGACACCTCAGGATTGGGGGTTGCAACAGTCAAGGGGTTAAATAACTGCTGGTGAGGGGGCTCTTGATCTGGGGAACTGGATCTGTGCTCCAATTCCCTGAATTAAGCCTGAATGCCTCCCATCTTCTCCCCCACAGGTGCTGTACAATCCCTATGGGTTTAGTGCTCCTCCCTCATAATAATAATATTACTACAATCAAAGTGCTAAACGCACAAGGATACACTTACCATGAACATCGGTATATATTAGTACATTATTATTGTGGAATTAGCACTTATTTTTTAAATGTTATCAAGAGTAATCACTAAATCTGTAGACCATAACTGGAAGAAATTACTAACAAAATGTGAAAATCTCCATAAGGAATTTTGAAATAAAAGGAAAATGCAAAATTTTTTCTAGGTACGTAGTTTAATCCATATATATAGTTTCCTTTTCAGTTCATGATTTTCATTTTACATATAAATGTTTACTGGAAATACTGTATTTTTACCTTATCATGACATGCTGCATCTGATTCTTGCAGTACTCGATTATTTCTGAAAATTAAAGTTCATACGTTGTTTTAGATCATATTATTAATGGTGTACAAACCTACACATTTTGCTTGCGCATCAAACAAGAATTCTTCAGTCAAATATAGACAATTACAACACAGGAGACTGATCACCTTGATTTTATGTCTACTTTACTGACACCAGTGCTGTAATCACTTGCATTTGACTGAAGAAGCCTGCTGTGCAAAAATTTACAGAGTACTGAAGGGGAATCCCACAAATTGACAAGAAAACAATAATGGAAAATGAGACTACAGGTATTCTGACTCTCAACTGGAGTCCTCATTGCAGAGTGTACACCTGAGAGAGATAATACATATACTATACACATATACAGGAGGGCCCCGATTATACAGCAATTAGGTTCCAGGCTACGGCTTTAAAGCAAAAATTTCCGTAAAGTGAATCGCCTTTTTTTTAATTTTTAAATACGCATAAAGGCCTGACATTTTTACAGTATATATTAAGCTAGGCTTAAAAAAAATTATATGAAAGTAAAATGAATGTACAGTACACAAATTACTAACCTTAAAATATTTTCATCGTTAGCTTATACATAATAGTAATGAGTGGTGAATCTGAAACTTTAGAAAACTGCCAGACTAGAGAGAGAGAGCACACAAATTCTGCAAACAGACTGAATCACTGACAACACACCCTGGCTCATGGTAACTGTTATGCAGGCTACTGCATTAATGTGGCGATAACTGTATACATGTATAGTGTAAGGTGTTATTTTGGGGGTAATGCTCCATAAATGTATATATAATGTCAGTGTTTTGGGTGGACACACATTAAACAGCCAGTTGGACACCTATTAGACATCCAACTTGGAGAGACTAACAACACTAAACAAATTATCTTCACATTACTCCAGTAGCCTGCATAACAGCAACACACCCAGGGTCACAGCAACACACCTAGGCTCATGGTAATACACCCAGTCACTCCCAGTTGATTGTCTAAATGGTCTAATACATGTCCAACTGTCTATTTCGTACATGTCCATCTGACCGTCTATTACGTGATATGTAGCGTGTTTAAGTTTCCAAAATATGTCATAGATGGATTACTGAAAATGTCTATGATAGCGTAAATATATGACATTTTCAGTGCCTCAGAGTGACATTCTTTGTGTTATTGCATCTTCAACACAAGTGAGACACTCTCTTAGGGGCGAATACTACGCTAGCACATGAAATTTTTTATTTTTCGTTTGATTTTTCATTTTTTTTTTGTACGTAAAGAAGCACCTTTCAATAGTAATGTGACCAAGTTTCAATAAGATAGCTCAAAAAACAACCGAGATAAAAATTATTTACTAATAATCATACATATTGAACAGTATTTTCGTAATGGGACTTGGAGAAGCTGTTTTGGCATTATCTACGCATAAAACAATGCTAAACTGTATTTATAACAATTGCCAAAACTGTAATTTATCCTTTCTTCATTCTTAAAAAAAATAAAGTTTGTGTGGTTTTGACATTCAGCCAAATATCTGACTTTTGCCCTCACAAAAATCAAAAACAAATTATATCTCAAAAAGGCAACTGTTTGTTTGTAAAACAATCATTCCTTTATGTTCTCTGTGAATTTCATTGCATTCCTGCTATTATTAACGAAAATACAGTCATATATATGTGAATAACCTACTTCCGAGATAATCCACGAAACAGCCGGACCACCGATTTTTTTTTTTTCGAGAAAATAGCATTTTTCTCAGCATTACGAGTGTATATCATAGTTACCCCATGTTCGTTTTCTTTAATATAAGGACCCTGGAGGTGAAAGAAGGAGAATGGAAGCCCATTCCTGACGATGGGAGTCTTTTATTCCAGAGGGAACGCTCTGGGAATATGCATTATTATTCATTGGTATTTACCTATTTTTTGTTATTTATATTGTTTATTATGTCATATTAGATCAATGTGATAGATAAATAGCGTAGAGCTTATAGGTTATTGAAGCATTCCGCCACACCGAGACTGAATTTTCATGATGTCAGCAAATGGTCAGAAGGTTCTGGTTGGCTGGATTACGGATAATCCCACCCACTGATTATGATGCCAATCGTAATTATCATCTTAGAAAAAATACATTAATAACAGAAAAAAAAATGAAATTGACAGACAGGTGAGCCACTTCGCGGTGGTGACGTCACTAGGTGTTTTAAATACCATAATTCCTTGTAGGAATGTCGTTAGGAACAATGATTCTGGTACCATTGTGATTGCAGAGATTTAAGCTATTTTCTATATGATTAACTTCAATTGTGAATTTTTCAACAATTTTTTCGTTCGCGCTGAGGTAGAGTGTACTTCCCTTAGTACTCCCTCACTGGCTTAGCTCTACTTTGTAACTTCGTATTATGATCCTCTTTTAATCACAACTACTTTGATTGCCATTGTAACGACAAAAAACAGTATAATATAGTAAGTAACTTTAAAATGTTTGAAACTTGGAAAGTTTCCAGACAGTCAAAGAGATGTGGGGTGGTCAAGGAGGATTAAACAAGCTGAGAGAAAGAGCGTGGAGTGCGACACCATAATAGAAATCAGAGCCATTAAACAATTTTTGGGATATCGTAATTGAATGTCGTATTAGCAAGGCCATAAGTAGGGCCCCATGTTATGTGGGTAAGTAGGTGCAGTAGATACGAATTATTGCTGACTGGGCCGTTAATGGAGATTTATGAACATTAAACTGAGTCTTTAAAATTGAAGGCAACAAAATAGTTAAAAGGTAATTGAGAAGGACCACCTCTAAGCCAGTTGGTCATATTCAGTGACTACCATATGTTATATATTTCAATTCTGGAGAAATTACCCCTATTTTCTTGTTTTTAAAATATTTGCTTACGATGGGCATATTAGATCAATGTGATAGATAAATAGCCGTTTATAGAAGCTATATAGCGTTATATTGAGCATATTCCCCGGCCACACCGAGACTGGAATTTTCCATGATGTCAGCAAAATGGTGCCAGAAGGTTCCTGGTTGGCTGGAAGTCTACGGATAAGTCCCACCCACTGTATTATGATGCCAAATCGTCAATTATCATCTTAGAAAGAATAATACAATAAATACACGAAAAAAAAAATGAAAATTGACGACAGGTGAGCACACCTGCCGCGGGTGGTGACGTCACCCTAGGTGTTTTAAATGACCATAATTCCTTGTAGGAATGTCGTAGAACAATGATTCTGGTACCATTGTGTTGCCAGAGAGTTAAGCTATTTTTCTATATGATTAACTCAATTTGTGAATTTTTCAACAATTTTTCGTTCGCGCTGAGGTAGAGTGTACTTCCCCCTTAGATACTCCCTCACCTGGCTTAGCTCCTACTTTGTAACTTCGTACTTATGACTCCTCTTTTAATCACAACTACCTTTAGATGCCACTGTAACACAAAAAACAGTATAATATACGTAATAACTTTAAAATGTTTGAAACTTTGGAAAGTTTCCAGACAGTCAAGAGATGTGGTGGTCAGGAGGATATAAACAAGCTGAGAGAAAGAGCGTGGAGTGCAGACACCATAATAGCAAATCAGGAGCCATATAAACAAATTTTTGGGATATACGTAATCTGAAATGTCTGTATTAGCAAAGGGCCATAAAGTAGGGCCCTCCTGTATATGTGGGATAAGTCAGGTGACAAGCTAGATGCAGAACTGTAATTGGCCTACTGGGCCAAGTTAATGGAGAGTTTATGAAACTTAAAACCTGAGTAGCTTTAAAAAATTCGACAGGCAACAATATAGTTAAAAAGGTTTAAATTTGAGAAGGACCACCCTAGCATAAGCCAGTAGGCATATTACAGTGCACCTACATTATTGTTATAGTATCTCTCCAACTGAACTACTAGGCCGAAATACCCATGAGCTAATAGGTATAGGAACACTTGTTTCTTGAAAACATATTTAGCAGTACGACTGGGTCTCCATTGTTCCAGTGACAGACTAAAATTATTTTGGGTGTTGAATGTTGATTCAGTTACTAGCCTCTTGTATTAGCAGGCACTTTTGTTCCAGTTAACAGAATGCCTGATACTGTTTGAAGCATGTAGAACTTTCTTAATCATACCTTATTGCTTATGTTTGGTTAGCTGTTGTTTTAACCCTCTGACTGTCGCGGCCATATATATACGTCTTATGAGGTACCGTGTTTGACGTATATACAGTATACTCATAAATTCTAGCGGCTTTAAATCAAGCAGGAGAAAGCTGGTAGGCCCACATGTGAGAGAATGGGTCTGTGTGGTCAGTGTGCACCATATAAAAAAAATCCTGGAGCATGCAGTGCATAATGAGAAAAAAAAAACTCCGACCGTTTTTTTTAATTAAAATGCCGACTTTGTGGTCTATTTTCGTATAGTATTTATGGTTGTATTCTCGTTTTCTTGGTCTCATTTGATAGAATGGAAAACATATTATAGAAATAGAGGTGATTTTGACTGATTTTACTATAAAAATAACCTAGAAATGGAGCTCAAAGTAGGGGAAATGTTTGATTTTTGCCAATGTTCAAAAGTAAACAAATGATGCCATTGTCCAATAAATGTCCAACTAGCCATTCTAATATGCAGTCATGAATGGGTTGATGTTATTTATACAGTATTGCAGTAGTCTGCATAATAGTAAGTCTTCTATTTTTTGTTTGAATAAAAATTCAAAATAGAAAGGAATAGTAGTATCAGAGGGGCCTGGAGACATGACTGATGAGCAAAGAAAATGTTATTTTAGAGCCAGGAATGTCTGCATTGTTCATTCTGGACCTTATTTTGAAATTGTCATATTTTTTAATTTTCGTGAAATTGGCCAAATTGCAAATTTGACCACATTATTAGGTAGTTGAAATCGGTAAATGGGCAGTTTCTTGTACTCAATCGATAGAAAAAATGGAGTTCTAAAGAAATAGCTATGAGTTTGGGCGACTGGAACAATGGAATTAGCCGAAAATACGGCTCAAAGTTGGCGAAATCGCCGATATTACAAATCGGCGATTTCGCCAACTTTGTTAGCGCCGAGGTCGCTAACTTTGCGAGAGCATAATTCCGTCAGTTTTCCATCAAATTTCGTTTTTTTTGGTGTCATTACAATCGGGAAAAGATTCTCTATCATTTCATAAGAAAAAATAATTTTTTTTTTTAAATTTTGCGACACCAGGAGACACCTCAGGATTGGGGGTTGCGACAGTCAAAAGGTTAAAGGAGTTAAAGCAACAGTTATCCAGGAGTTAAAGCTTGTGTATGGTCAACTTTTGCTTTAAAGATGTTCCAGTTCAAATGCTTATCTGAACTATGATGTCAGTAACTAGTGAGAATACAGAACCTTACAGGAGCACTAAATCACTGAGTGGGCAGAGCTACTGCAATGAACCAATTATATTTATACCTCTGCAATATAGTTTTTTAAATAACACTCAGTATTATTAATTTTTTTTCTTCAACAAACCGGCCGTATCCCACCAAGGCAGGGTGGCCCAAAACAAAAAACAAAAGTTTCTTTTTAAATTTAGTAATTTATACAGGAGAAGGGTTACTAGGCCCTTGCTCCCGGCATTTTAGTCGCCTCTTACAACACGCATGGCTTACAGAGGGAGAATTCTGTTCCAATTCCCCATGGAGATAAGAGGAAATAAACAAGAACTAGAAAGAAAATGAAAAAACCCAGAGGATGTTATATCATACATATGTATAATGCTTGTACACAAGTAGACCTGCACATAGAAGAGAGGGTTACGACATGTTAACAGTCCGGACTTTGACCATTTACAAAGTCACAACGAAAGGAAAGCAGGATGGTATATTAGGCAGGGGGAGGAGGAGGAGGAGGAGGAGAGGAGAGGGGAGGAGGAGGGAGGAGGAGGAGGAAGTGGTGGTGGGATATCGAGGAGAGGGAGGAGGAGGAGGAGGATGGAGGAGGAGAGGAGGAGGAGGAGGAGGAGGGAGGAGAGGAGAGGAGGAGGAGAAGGGAGGAGGAGAGGAGGGAGGAGGGAGGGAGGGGGGAGGAGGAGGAGGGAGGAGGAGGAGGGGGGAGGGGTGGAGGAGGAGGAGGGGAGGGAGGAGGAGGAGGAGGAGGAGGAGGAGGGGGGAGGAGGAGGAGGAGGAGGAGGAGGAGGGAGAGGAGGAGGAGGGGGGAGGAGGAGGAGGAGGAGGAAGGAGGAGGGGGAAAGGGAGAGGAGGAGGAGGAGGGGGGAGGAGGGAGGAGGGAAGGAGGAGGAGGAGGAGGAGGAGGAGGAGGAGGAGGAGGAAGGAGGAGGGGGAAAGGAGGAGGAGGAGGAGGAGGGAGGAGGAGGAGGAGGAAGGAGGAGAAGGAGGAGGAGGAGGGAGGAAGGAGGAGGAAGGAGGGAGGAGGAGGAAGGAGGAGGAGAGGAAGGAGGAAGGAGGAGGAAGGAGGAGGGAGGTAGTAAGAGTAGGAGGGGCCAGTCAAATACTAAGAAAGAGGAGCACTGCAAGGGAGCTAGGTGCCCACAGAGGGTAAGTGCAAGAACATTGAGAGGGGGAAAAACAAATAAATAAAGAAGGAACAAATACACAGGGCAGAAGAAAGACAACTCATAGGAGAAAAAGGAAAGAGGAAAGGGGAAGAGGGAGAAGAAGAAAAAAGAAGGAATCAGGTTAGGTCACGAGTGTTCTGAAGTTTGGAGCATTTTACAATGTAGTGGGAGAGGAAGGAATCTACAGAGACAAAGCCAGGACTAAGATTCAACCAGATGGCGACTGTTAAAGTTAGAAGTAGGGAAGACAGTTTTAGCAGAAAACCAGTCAACAGGATGGTTGTGATCTCTGACGTGACAGAGGAGAGCATTGTTAGCGTCGGAAAGCCTAACACTATTTTTGTGCTCCCTAAGTCTGTCAGAAAGATCGACCAGTTTCTCCAAAGTATTGAAGAGGACAGGAGGAACAAGAAATAGAGTAGACACCAGGAGCATCTGTAGAGGGAGGAGAGGTATGAACGAGATTAGTGCGAAGAGTGTTAGTCTGGCAGAGAGTAAGTTTGATGTCAGAGGAATGGAGAGAGTTGTTGAGATTACAAAGACTGGAAATGTAGGGAAGGCAGAAAGTATTATTAATGCATTTCTGGTCTTTCTAATCTCAACAACTCTCTCCGCTCCTTAGACATCAAACTTACTTTCCGCCAGACTAACACTCTTCGCACTAATCTTGTTCATACCTCTCCTTCCTCTACAGATGCTCCTGGTGTCGACTCTATTTCTAGTTCCTCCTGTCCTCTTCAATACTTTGGAGAAGCTAATCGATCTCTTTCTGACAGACTTAGGGAGCACAAAAATACTGTAGTGTTAGGTTTGCCGACACTATAATGCTCTCTTCTGTCACGTCAGAGATCACAGCCATCCTATTGACTGGTCTACTGCTAAAACTGTTGCCATCTGGTTGAATTCTCCCTAATACACGACTTTCCTTGTATGAATCTTAGTCCTGGCTTCATCTCTGTAGATGCCTTCCTCTCCCACTACATTGTAAAATGCTCCAAACTTCAGAACTTTGTAAATGGTCCAAGTTGGACCGAAACGTCGTTGTAAGCTCCTCTCTTCTATGTGCGGGCTATTTGTGTATTGTTCCAGTCACAGTATTGTGCCTTTTTTTTGTTATTTATGCTTGTACATGTATTTGTAGTGTGCCCTAAGTGTAAGTAGAAGTAGCAAGACGTACCTGAAATCTTGCATGTTTAAGAGACAGAAAAAAAAAAGACACCAGCAATCTTACCATTGTGTATTCCATTTTACACTCACTTGGCAGGACGGTAGTACCTCCCTGGGCGGTTGCTGTCTACCAACCTACTATCTACAAGTATTATTAATGCATTATTAAAAAGATTTACTTCTATATGACAGCCCAACTTACTTTTTGCAATATCTTTGTAAGCTGATGTGGCAGGTACATCTGGTTCTTCAGTCAGAAAATTATGACCTAGGTCACATGCTTGGGCAACTCTTGGATCTAGAGGCAGTTGACCCAGTAGAGGAAGACCAGCATCAGTTGCTAGCTGCTTACCTCCTCCTGTAGTGGCTGGGAAGATAGCTGTCTCTGCCTAAAAAAAAAAAAAAATTCTAGTATAGAACAGAGAAAATTGTTAGCAATACTGATATGCCTAAAAAGACTCCTACCAACATTATTAATTATTATTATTATTATTAATTTCATTCACATAGTACTAAACCAATACAGGTCATTCAGTGCTGCTTTCTAACATATGAAATGCTTGGCAAACATCTCTTGCACCATATCCATAATATTTAATTATTTATACCATTTATTTACATTTACTGTATATCAATAAGCATTCCTCAATTACTTTAATCAAGTAAATCTGATATTAAAAGTACTTTGTTTCATTGTAGTGTGTTTAGTAAACAATATTCATATGATTTTCCTTGTAGTACATTTAATTTACATTATTATTTTACTACGTTTATAGTGAAAATTGCAAACCATATGGATTATGCAGTATCAGGGGAGGGGGGAAAGGCAGTCATTTTTGATCAAGGAGAGGCAAAGTACCCCCAACCCCTTGGCAAGACCCCTTTCAACATCAAAAAACCCCCTATCACCACCATAAAGGATGGCCCATGAAAAGATGTCTCCACTTAAAAGGTCTTTAAGTAAAATAAAAGTGGCCTAAAAATTTTACCCTCTTCTGTATTCCTTTATGCATTTCCATTACCATATACAAATTCAAAAATACACCCTTCTGTCCTTTTTTTCTCTATGAAAACCCCTCCCCTTTTAAAACAGCATTTTTTATCTCTTTGTTTAAAACCAAAAGTCTTACTATTCTCTGAACTTGCAAAAATATTTTTCCCAAACCTTATTCTCTTTTTTGAAATCTCTGTCTTTTTTGGGGGTTTGAAAAAAATTTTCTTTGGGGAGAAGCAAAGCACGGGATTCAAAAAGGCCTTTTTAAAAAGGGTTTTCCCCTTGATCTTTTCCTTTGTTTTAAGATGCAATTTTTTCTATAATTTTTGGAAGCAAAGGGGTGGGGTTGGGGGGAGACGGCCGCCCTTTGTTAAAAAAAAAAAAAAAAAAAAAATCCCCAAAATTTTAAATTTTAAAAATTTCCCTTGAAAAAAAATTTTTTTATTTCTTTTTTCCCTTCCCATTTGTGGAAATTAAAACCACAGTATAGGTGGGGAGGGAATCTTATTGTAGCCAGCTGACCCGTGGCTAATGAAAGGGTTTTGGGGATTTTTTTTGATTCACCCCAAAGGGTTAACCCCCGGGCCTATACCGTGGTTTTTTTTGGAAATCTGTCATTACAATTTCTGGGGGTCTTTTTGGGGTATGCCTGGGGCCCTATTTTTTAAAGTCTATATACTCCCAAGGCCTTTAACCTCTATTCTTGACCAGTGTTCTAAGAGCATTTATGAACTTGACCCCTTTTCAATGCTATGAGGTAAAAACCATGAATGGGGTTTTTACAAGCGGGAGTGGTTTTTTGTTTTTTGGTGCTTATAGTAAATTTTGATATATATTTTGTTTTAACAATGTCAGCCTTTCTCCATGGGAGGCAGGGTGCCCCAAAAAAAGTTTTGGAAAACATTTTCTGAAATTTAATTTTAAAAATGATTAAAATGCCTTGTCTTGTATCGGTTTTTAAAATCTAGAATTTTTTTTGTAAGGGGAAATAGAAAATGAAGGAGAAACTAACTTAGAAAATTCACCCTTATTTGAGCTGATGCACTTGACTGTGTGACAGCTGGCGATAAAATTCAATCACTGTAGCAGGTTGGTGCACTACCCCCCGGGGGGTTTACTACCATCCTCCCAAAGTGAGTGTGAAACGCAACCCTGTAATTTTTTTACATGATGGTGGATTGCTGGTGTCTTTTGTCTGTCTCATAAATATGCAAGATTAGGGGGTAGTCTTGCTACTTTTACTTACACTTAGGTGACAAATTTCATGTTTTTTCAGTACATCTTTATTTATACACATCATCTGAGTTTTCTTTGATTTTATTTAATAGTTCTTTGGGCTTATACTTTCCTTTTATATCCAAAGGGGAAAAGGGAATTTAAAAATTTTTTCCTCCCCTAAGCCCGGGGTGTTGTAAAAATCAACTAAAACTCTGGGAAAATGGGCTAGTAACTCCTTTTCCTGTAATAATTACTAAAAAGAAAAAGAAGGGAAAAAAATCCAAAAATGGGGGAAAATTTTGAATTTTGGTGGATTTACAAAAAGATAAGAAAGAAGGGGATTTTTGGGGTTTTGAATGAGAAGAAGGGGATGTCCTGGTTTTTAAATGCAACAAAGCTGAAGGGGGTGGGAGAGTTTCAGTGGAGAGGAAAAAATTGGGGTTGCTTTAGGGGGTTTTAAAAAAGGGGTTAGAGCTAAAAAAAGAGTGCAATAATGTTGAAAAGGTTTAAATTAAGGCAGGAAAAAAAAGGGGAATTTTTTTTAAAAAAATATTAATTCAAGGATTATGTTTGGGGTAAAATAAAGGTTTTGGGTGTGAAAAAGTGGGTTTAGTAAGCATATATGTCCTGGAGAAAAGAGAAGTGTAGGGGGGGAGAGAGAGGGTTTTGGGAAAAGGGTTGAGTGAATGCATGGGGGGTTTTTGAACCAAGTGTAAAGAGTAATGGGGTTGGGGGTTTCAAGCAAAAGTAGGCAAAAATGTTGTGGAGGGAGTACATTCGTCGAAAAAAGCAAAAGGGGTTAAACAGCTCGAGAATGACCCAAACCTGCCGAAGTGTTGCTTTAACGTCTCGGCCCTAGATGATTTTTGGGGGGTGAAGTGGAAAAAATCTTTTTTTGACGACCCCTCCCCCCCCCTTTTTTTTTGCACATAACTTCCCAAAGCAAAAACCTTTGGCCCTATAGTGCAAACATTGTTCTTTAATTTCACCCCGTTCATTTGGGTTTTGGACTCTGGTTTCGCAAGTCAATTTTATCAGGTTCTATTTTTTTGCACAGAACTGCTAAAAAGCCTCAAAGATGGGGTGGAAGTTTTTAGCAGTTAAAAGGGGGGGAGAACCAAAAACCTAGTCATTGTGGGAGTTACAAGCCTCCGGATGCCCAAAATCCCAGCAATTCCCGGGAAAGCTGTTAAAAATTGACCACTGTCTGGAAAAAATCTTCCAGCTCCTGCCCCCAACATCTTGCTCCCGGGGGGGGTTTCAACTTTTAAAGGGACCTAAAATGGAGGGAAATTTTAGCAAATAATATTTTTTGCGTAAAAAACACCAGGGGGGCAGTTGATGAAAAACCCCACTCCGCGAGCTTTTAAATCTCTGCAAAAATTCAAATTTAAACCCCGTAAAAAAATAGGTTTTTGATGGAGAATAACTTACCCCATCTTCACTAAAAAATGGATGATTTATAAAAAAATGTCACCATATCAAAAAAAATACTCGATCACAACATAAAATTTAGGTTCAGTCATGTATGCGGGGGAGGGCCCCGATGAATAAAGAGTTTTGGCACGAGGGAGCCCTTCCCCCCAAAATTTAACTTCAAAAACAAAAAAATAAAATGGGACCAAAATAAACCAAGTCCTAACCCAAAAAGCTGGGAAAAAAAAAAATATACCCAAACAAACCCCAGACCCCCAAATTTGCCTAGAAAGATTAATCGGTGGACTCGATGTAAGCACAAGGGTTATTTCCTCTAAAAAAGGGGGAGTGATGTAAAATAGAAAGGACAGGCGCTCCCTTTACAGGCGGAAAGGGAAAAAAAAATAACCCGAGCGGTAAAAGAGGTAAATATCTGAAATGGTTGGGAGACACTGGTCAGAGAAATTTGAAGCATCCCAAATTAGCTAAAAAAAATTTTAGGAGTCAGGAAACGCGGGAAAAACTAAAAACCATAAATGAAATCGAAAAGAAACCCCAAAATATTTCTTTTTTTTTTTCCCATGCCAAAAACAAAATCCGGGAGAACAAGGGCCCGTATTGGGCCCCTACTTAAAAAAGTTGGGGCCCACACAGATGAAAAGCAAGGAAATGAGTGAGCTACTCAAGTCCCAATATGACTCAGTTTTTAGCAAGCCGCTAACCAGCTGAGAGTCCGAAGATTCAAAAATGAATTTTTATGAGAGGCCACAAAAATTTGATAACACAAGCCTATCCGATGTTATCCTGACGCCAAATGACTTCGAACAGGCGATAAATGACATGCCCATGCACTCTGCCCCGGGGCAGACTCATGGAACTCTGTGTTCATCAAGAACTGCAAGAAGCCCCTATCACGACCCCTTTTCCATCCTATGGAGAGGGAGCATGGACACGGGGGTCGTCCCACAGTTACTAAAAAACAACAGACATAGCCCCACTCCACAAAGGGGGCAGTAAAGCAACAGCAAAGAACTACAGACCAATAGCACTAACATCCCATATCATAAAAATCTTTGAAAGGGTCCTAAGAAGCAAGTCACCACCCATCAAAAAACCCATCAGTTACACAACCCCGGGCAACATGGGTTTTGAACAGGTCGCTCCTGTCTGTCTCAACTATTGGATCACTACGACAAGGTCCTAAATGCACTAGAAGCAAAAAGAATGCAGATGTAATATATACAGACTTTGCAAAAGCCTTCGACAAGTGTGACCATGGCGTAATAGCGCACAAAATGCGTGCTAAGGAATAACAGGAAAAGTCGGTCGATGGATCTATAATTTCCTCACTAACAGAACACAGAGAGTAGTCGTCAACAGAGTAAAGTCCGAGGCAGCTACGGGTGAAAAGCTCTGTTCCACAAGGCACAGTACTCGCTCCCATCCTGTTCCTCATCCTCATATCCGCATAGACAAGGATGTCAGCCACGCACCATGTCTTCCTTGCAGTGACACCCGAATCTGCATGACAGAGTCTTCCATTGCAGACACTGCAAAGCTCCAGGCGGACATCACCAAATCTTTCAGTGGGCGCCAGAAAACAAAATGAAGTTCAACGATGAGAAATTTCAATTACTCAGATATGGTAAACATGAGGAAATTAAATCTTCATCAGAGTACAAAACAAAAATTTTGGCCACAAAAAAAAGAGCGAAACACCAACGTCAAAGACCTGGGGGAATCGTGTCGGAGGAAACTCAC